TGCGTTTGTCGCCAGCCTTGATGGCAGCATACCAGCCGAATCATCAGCACAGTATATAAATGTTACGCTCAAAGATCGAAAACGCTCAGTGAGCAGAAAAATAGGTCACAACGCGTTGTGGTCACAGTAAAACATCCACATGGCGAAATTCGTGTTATGGCTCTAATGAAAACGCGCACGACGCGTTGTGGCAATAACAGAAAGACCAAATAGCGAAATTAGTGTCGTGGCTGACATGCTATTCGATCTCAACGCGTTGTGGCAATGAAGAAAAGCCATGACGCGTATGGAATATGATTTGATTACGACGTACACTACTTTCCGATATGGATCCTACTAGGCTTAGGGTGCGGCCAGAGTGCACTCAGATTCAGATTCAGATTCAGATTCCGAAAACAAGCGCGACAAATAAACAGTGTAGTGGAAGGGTACGGCCAGAGTGCACTCCTGATTCAGATTCAGATTCAGACTCAGAAAACAAAGCGCGAGAAAAAGCAGGCAACCTGCTTAGACTACACTGTTTATTTCTCGCGCTTGTTTTCAGAATCTGAATCTGACTCTGAATCTGAGTGCACTCTGGCCGCACCCTTAGGCTGGAAACGTTTTGGTAGATGTCTTTAGGAAATATTTTTTATTTTATAAAATCAGTGCATAACATGTTTGTCATTATTAAATATGATATATAATTACATAAATTAAAATAAAACTGTATTTGTTATTTATTGAGATTACTTTATATTTAAAAAATCAACGTATTAAGTAATAAATTACTGAACACAAAATAAAAATAATTTGTAAATTACTTATAATTCACTTAAAATAATTATTGATTTTTTTTATGACAATTTAAAAGTCTTTCAAGTAATAAAAATATTTAACTGTGACCACAACGCGTTGTGAGCTATTTTTCCACTTACTGAGGGTTTTGATCTTTGAGCGTAACATAAATACAAAATGGATTAACGAAATATTATCAAGTATCTATAGAGCAAGATTTAGATAATTTGAAAATGAAAATGTTCCATTAACACCTATATGGGATATAGGGTAGTAAGTTGATTCAAACCTTGGACCTAAAATTAAGTGACACCTTGAAATCCTTGGGTAAATGCTTCTCTGCCAGTTAAAATACCTTAGCTGACCAAGCATTCTTAAGAGGCCATCGCGATTGAGAAGATGTTGTGAATAACATTAAAGAGTGAAACATCTTCTGACGCACGTAAAACCGATTTCTGACGCGGCAACGCTCGCCCGTAAAATGCAATATATACCAGTGCTCAACTACTCGCCGATCAGTTAGAGATGGGCGTTTTTAGATATTTTTGAAATCGATGCGCATCGGTATCAGATGATTGGCATCGATGTGGGGATACGATGCAATATGAATTTCTACAGATGCATGTTTTGTGTGGGTGTGTCTCTTCGATTCTTTGAATCAGGACTTGAAAATGTAACCAAAAACCATTTATTTACTTTTCGGTATGTTATCTGAAAAGATTGAATGCTGGCAAAATAATTACATAAAAATTTTCACTCAGAGCGTAGGTTTTGAACGCAGGCAGGATGCCAGGGGCCCAATTCTCGCGGCGTAGATATTATATCGGCTTCGAGATAATATCGAAAGGAGGGATATCTATTGAAAATATCTACTGATGGTAAAATATGCTATTCTCGTGGATTTTCGATATTCCAATGATATTATATCTATCGTAGATATTCTGTCACTGCCGAATGCGTTCCGTTTTTCTCGATTAAGTTAACATCATAGTCTATATAAAATAATAATAAATTAGAGCAGAATTTTACAAGCAACAAAATGATATTTTATGAATTCCATTCATATTAAATATGAGTATACATTTTTTGAGTATAAGAAATCTCAACTTTACCTAAATTGTATGCGTATATAATTTCAACGTTATGTATAATGAAACGTCAATATTATTTAAGATTTCCCTTTTCAGGGAAGGCAAGGGTAACAATGCCCATAAAGCCTAGTCTTTAGTTATATTAATCTTCTTTTTTTTTACATTCGAATGTCGGTGTGACGCATTCTAATGTTTCTTGGAGTGTTTGGCACGAAATTTATGGAGTTGGTTTTTTCTCTAAGCTTCTGTGAGGTAGTCAACACTACAATAAAGTTCTCGCGTCCACTTGACCGGAATAGCGTATATTTTAAAGATTCCACTAATTCTTCAGTTGCGCAGACGGTTGTAACACCAAATCACACCAATTTTATTTCACAATATCCACTATGAACGAATTTTAGAATAATTAAAATAAGACGCCAACCGCACTCGCAGTAATCCCGCCAAAAACTCCGTATCGTCAATAAGAAAATGGTATCGATTCTGGCATGATTCTCTAAACCTAAACGTAAATTTGACATCAGTGTATCCTTGTCATTCTCCATACAGAATGAAAAGGAGAGACTGATGTTAAATTCAGTTTTAAGTTTAGAGAATCGTGTCAGAATCGATACCAATGTCATTCATAACTTTATAGATTTCTAACCAAATTTTTGTTTAAACGTATTTTTTTTATGAAGTCGGCGTCCCTCATTTCAAATGGGCCCTCTTGCTCTCACAACGGCGGCGCCTTAGCACAGCAGCAGCAATCACGTCATTTACTAAATCATTGACGAAAACATGAATCAACTCATCCATCGTTAATATAAACTGGTGTCGATTCTGGCACGATTCTCTAAATCTAAACTTAAACTTGACAACAGTGTTTCCTTGTCATTCTCTATACAGAATGAAAAAGAGAGACTGATGTTAAATTTAGTTTTAAGTTTAGAGAATCACGCCAGAATCGACACCATTGCTTAACTCCTTTTTTATTTACTAATTATTTATGAAGGCAGTTAACAACATCTTGAGGTAACAATAATTGGCAAAGACACACGACAACACAATAAATAATAGGTAAAAAAGTGGAAATAACAAGATTAACTTGCCAAGATCCATAGATATTTATATATCGAAGGCTCTTTACCAGTCGATGTATGTCTACTGATCATCCGTAGATAAATATCTATTGCGACATGGTGAGAATAGGGCAAAAAGGTTTTCCTTCGATAAAAGCCAGATCATTCGATATATATCGAAGGTGATATAATATCTATGCCGCGAGAATTGGGCCCCAGGTTTGGATGCGCGCATCCGATACGACTGGATGCCGTTAATGGATGCCGATGCCGTCTAGTTTTTGTCATCGTTACTATAGCAACAGTGCCACAAATTTTTCTGTGCCGGTGGCAAAAATTAAAACTACAATTTATCTATAGCATTTTGACATTTATGACATATTTGTTCACCGCTAGCGACATCTCCACCGGCACAGATAAGTTTGTGGTACTGTTGCTATGGTAACGTTGACAAAAACTAGATGGCATCGGCATCCAATAACGGCATCCAGTCGCATCGGATGCGCGCATCCGAACCTGAAATCGTTATTGCGCATCGTTATTCTAAAAACGCCCATCCCTACGATCAGTACGGCGCCAGCGCCCTTCGAGGAAGAACCTATGTCATTTTTTACCGCACGCATCCCGAGCAATTCTCCAAGTGTATTTATCGTAAACTGGCTAGTGTTTCACATCTACCAGGCATCCCTTGATGGCTCTAATTTTTTTATAAAGATAAGACTGTTTAGAGTTCTTCAAAACTACACCCTTCAATACACTACAGCAATCACCTTGAACATAAACCATAGAGAATGAAGACAACGCAGTAGGAATTTTACACATGAAAATGTTTACTGCACAAGTTTCTTTGTCTATATCTTTACTCAAAATGTTAGCTGTTACCTATACCCAAACACAGAAACCAGAGCTTTAACAAAATTTTGGCTTTCTCTATATTAATGTATGTATGGTTCAATACATTATAGATAGATCTCTCTACAGTATGTAACATCACACAGTACTAATATTATAAATGTGATGAAAGTTTGTATGTTTAAACTTGGCACACTTATAGTTTATCATGAAGATTGAGACAAAGGATACTTTATATACGGAAAAATGTGAGGTTCCTGAGGGATACTCAAAAGACTAAAGGTAACATGGACATTATTGTGCATGGCCGCTAATTAAGTAATAGAGCACAATATTCAATATGGCTTTATTATTTTGTTACACTATAGTGTGGTATATGGTAGGTACACTATTTGTTTAGTGTTTCTATATGTTTAACTGTGAATAATCTTGTCGATTGTAATAATAAATAATTGATTATTTTATAAACTTAAATTTATCATTCATAAAATGTAACTGTTTGTTGTTCTATAGTAAAACAAAACAAAATTTGGAAGCTTTTTTGTAATCAAAATATACTTGTGTATAAAGAACCTTATGAGTTTAAGACATATATAAATATCAATGCACTCATTCAATCAAAATTTATACACCAAAAAATTTGTTTCTTCTGCCCCTCTAGCATGACCACTGAAACGGGATATGTTGTAGCGATATATCGGCATTAACTGTCAGACTACAGTGGAGTTTGACAGTAGTCTGACAGTTAATGCCGATATATCGCTACAACATATCCCGTTTCAGTGGTCATGCTAGAGGGGCAGAAGAAACAAATTTTTTGGTGTATAAATTTTGATTGAATGAGTGCATTGATATTTATATATGTCTTAAATATTTTATCTTGAATTGAATAATAATATTGATCACATTTACTTAAAATGAAAATTGATTAATAGGAACTACAAGGTCTAGGACAGCATGTTATTATGAATTTTTCCCTATTTATATTTCCCTCTTTAACTAGTGGTGCAATAATACTTTTATGATAAGTTACTGTTTTATGAGATTTGATTGTAATTAACATTCTTAGTTGGAGTTGCAGACCAGTTAAATAGCTAAGTACATTACCATAATCAAATTATAAATCACATTGACATACACGCAGAAGTCATTTTTGCAGAAAAATTGCAAAATAAAGTACCTACCAGGAAAATTGCGTGACATAAATTTAGATACTAACCATTGCAGATTTCACCATTTCCATTTCTGATTGTGTATCGCACTGGACTTAGGGTTTCGAGTACAATAGCTCCCGTAGAAGACAATTTTTTCGTCTCCAGCAAGATGCAGCCCTCGCATTCTTCATATTGACTCCAGAAACTTATCGGTTCGTTTGTTCCTATTTCCAAACACGCTTGGTCATACTGAAGTCTGGTACCGCTACAATTTCTAACAAATGCACCCACGTTTTCGAAATACATTTTAATGAACTACAATCATCTGAATCGAAATTAATAGCACGCTTTTGTTCTTGGAACAAAACAGCAATTTCGCGAGAACGAAAACACAAGTCGTCAACAACTTTAGTGAATCATCTGTCACTGTCAGTTATTTTAGGGATGTAAATATTAACATTAATCATGAATGTCATGGTGCCTCCTAACGATTTACTTTAGTTCGTTAGATTTATTTACCAAAAATATTAATGTAAACTACAGAATGAAAACTAAGTGTTGATCTTTACTTGAGTACAGTTAGAAAGTGATGTCGCTTTGTTTAGCACATAGCGATATCCCTATCTAACTGTACTCTAGTTTTTTTTTTTTATTTAGGTAAATGTAAATTTTATAATTCAATGCCGTCAAAATCTAGAACTGAAACGATTCAATATTACAAAAAAAATATGACAGTCGATTGAGATCTCTATGAGTTCAGGCGTAACAGACATTTCGTCATAAAAGCTGATTGAATAGAATAGATGCAAGTGACTGTATGTGTAAGTGTGACTGTTGGAGTCAGTGTCCTAGGGTAAATCAAAAATAAATTTTGCCGCATCTAATAGTATCGAAACAAATGTGAACTGAGATTTTTTGATTGATATTGGATACTCCAATATTAGCCTTAAAGTATACGCTCAGTAAAAACAAACAGGAAATATTACGAATAAGATAATCGATTACTTTAGACTTACCGATACTTTAGATGATACATCCCTATGCACTTTTTTATATTCTCATTTTTAAAGCATAAGATTCACAGTTTCACACCTTAGGTTCATGCAGCCAAGTACATTTTTTTTAATAAATACGAATGGATAGGGTTTTTGTTTTTTTTATCACTGTCATGAAGGGTGCAATGGCGCAGAGTTTAGCGTGTCCGGCCTGCGATCGTGCAACTTAAGGAACTTTCGCAATGGTGTGACTATCGAACTTTTATGTATTACTGTAACTTACTCACAATGTTTATATAATTGGTTAAGCATTCACCTCCCGGGTTTTGTAAACATGTTGTAATGCGAACCATTTAGTAAAACTGCAATAATATTAGGTCTTTGCGTTGCGAGCTCAGTTCAGTGCGAAAACCACTGTTTAATTGTCAGCTAAGTTAAATATTTTGTATTGGTGAATAAATATATTTTTGATTTTGGTCGGCCATTGGATATGTGACCAAAACCCTAGCACGTTGAGCCGTTGATCCCGGCTGCATCTCCATTCCATCCATAGGAAAGGCTTGTGCAGCAGCAGCAGAAGGGACAATAATAGGCTAATAATGAATGACAGAGAAGCTTTTAAAGACTTGTTTCTTACTGGTATCACACTTACAGGCTCGGATTTAGAGATGTAGAGGCCCCTGTTCAAAATCCCGGTTAGTGAAACGTCGAATTGGTTTTTTTATCACTCTTGTAGGCGTCCCTCTCTTGTGGGGAATCCTGGGTCACAGCCCCACCTTAAATCTGGTTCTACACACGGTTAGGTTCAGATTTAAGTCAGGGCTGGCAGTACTGCGGCCCAGGGCCAAAAGAGCCTCCCCCCCCACAAAGATTTTCAAATAGAGGCACCGACTCCTTCGTTCCCAGGGCCCTCCACCTTCACACCTCTAAGTCTGGGTCAGGGTCCCTGACCAAGGTAGGTTGAAAAATGTTATATTTAAAAATGTATAATAATGTCTTCTAAATAGGAAACCCTAAGAAAACGTGTATCATCTTCAGCAAAACTTCGTAAAATTCATTTTTCAAATTGTCAGGAACATCGACGTATATATCCTTCTCGTTGTTCTTGACTTCAGCATGTACCTCGTAAAACCATCCAGGGAAGGGCGAAGGCGTAAGGAAATAATGCCATTGTCTTTGGCCGAGCGTCACTATTAATGATGTGTATGGACCCTTGAAATAGAGCTGAAAAAATGACATTAATTACTATTTAAATCTAAAGAAAAAAAAACACGCGGACCCGGCAGCGGACGAGACTCGAACCCGCACACTTCACTATCCGAGCGAATGCACTGACCATTACTACCGCGGCCCTGGTCAGAGCATTCGCCCGGAAGGGTGTGGGTTCAAGTCCCGTCTGCTGCCTGGTCCGCATAGAATTTGTCTTTAGATTTAAACCTTTATTAGTTAAATGTTTAAAAAAATAAAATATAATTACTATTTCTTTTAATTTGAAAGTAACCTACCTACTTCTTTCTTTGTTTTCTTAATTATCATAATCAATGCCTTACTTAGTTTCTGAGAAAGGCAACATGAAAATGTATCGAAATAAAGACAGCTTGAAATTTACGATAATAGAACAACAGGTTTTTAATATAGTTGTTAAAGAAATAAGACGCTTAACTTACAGCTAATGAAGAAATCTCTTTATCGTCAGATTCGGTTAAATAGGAATCAGGTTCTTTGTTAGTAGATAAACTGAAAAAGAAATTAAATACATGAAACATATGTTACATAGGACGTCTGCCTGGCAATCAAGTCCCATGAAGATCCAATCCATACTTATTTTTCACCAAAGATGGTGGTGTAGAACTCAATTATGAAGGATGTTAATTTTACAAATATGCTATATTTCTTGCTACCAAACCTATGAAGGAAACCCATAAGGGATTAAAAATGGACGGATTTAAAAATTGAAAATGCGCCCAATGGCTTTTATTACATGTGATTGTCCACTTTGATCTTTGATGGTCGAGCACACTCTACTTATGAGTACACCGGTGTCTTTGTCGACTCGAGAACCTTCCTTATTTTCGATTTTCATGCTAGGTAACCGCAAGTAGGACCTATTGCAATTTACTTCTAAATCTATAAATTTAAATCTATAAATGAATTCAATACTTACGCAAATTTATTAACGATCTTCATTATTTCGTTTTTCAAAACTTCCCTTTGTGCTAATTTCTCAGTTTCACGATTTGGCTTACGTGGAATTAGTTTTTTGCTTATCGGCTTTGGCAATGGTCCTCCTTTGCGTGCTTCTAAACTGTAATTTCAATTGTTAAATAAGCATTAGATTTAGGACCAGGTTAAGGTTTATGATTTTATAATATGGTGTTGTATACAGGGCCCAATCCAAAGGGGGCGAGCTGGGCATTTGCCCAGAGCGGCAATATTGCCTTAATATTTGCCTGGAGCGGCAAAATTTCTAGTATACCATTTCTGCTTATTAGTTGAGAGTTTGTCTGGCATTTTTTCATAAATCTTAAAAACATTTTAAATATCAAAGCAATATCCGCAATTGAAATACTTTGCCGGCTCATGTGTTCCTTTGCTCCTAAAACCCGGGATCTTTTAAAAGAGGCGTGAAGAAGAAATAAGCAGACCGGCAAAGTGAGGATGGCTGGTGTGGCAGGCAGAACTACAGCCACCGGCGGATGCGTGGACAGTCGGAAATCAGGTGCCACGACCACATCCGCAATCCCGGCACGCATTGGGGTCCTCCGAATGCGTGTCCGTATGTCGGGTGTCCACTGCAGAAGTGTTGTCTGATTTTAAGTGGCCTTGCGTAGGTAGGGCCCTGCTCATCTCATCTGGCCCCAGGGCTGAATGGAATGAGCAGGGAGGAGTCCCAGATACCTTCTTCTAGCTCCCCCGGTGGTAGAAAGAGGCGTAAAGCATTTCCCCCACACAAAAAAAAGAACTACAGCAGTTCTAGCTGCCACTACAGCCATTCTCACCTTGCCGGCCTGCAAATTGCTTCTTCAGCTTAAGCTTCATTCGCGTCTGGACTATATAGGTAGTCACTTAACATCAGGTGAGCGAGAGTCATCTGTCAGACAGACCTATTTATAAAAAAAAACTTTTTATAAAAGGATTTCATTTGCATCTTACCGTTTAATCAGCGGCACGAAAGCATAATAGAAATCTTGTTCCTCGCGTATACTGGCGATCCTCAACTTCAAGTCATCAAAATCATCATTACCCAATCTGAGTACCCACAAAGGATTTTCCTGCTGCAACCCGTTCACCAATCTCACATTAGGTCTGCCAGTATATTCATTAACATCGAGATCATTGTCAAATTTGTCGCCACTATATCTTCTGACTAAACCGGAGACCAGTAAAAGTTGAGGAATTAATATGAAAATAGCAAATTGCGATTGCCACATTGTTATTTTGAACTCGACAAAGTCGCTGTTTGTGATAAGGTAGGCAACTAAGAACCTATTGATTATGATCAAATTGTTTGAGTAACTACGTAAATAGGTAGATAAGTACCTATTAAGTAAGCATGTTTGTGTGATTCTAGTTTACTTAGAACAGTCTCCGTGCACTTGTGTAAATAACAATTTTAACGTGAGCTCAAAAAGAGTTCTGTATAGGTACCATCATACGGTCGGCTAAAAATAAATTCTCAGACTCTTTCGATAAAACTTCCTTTGTAACCAAAATGGCGATAACGTGAAGATTATTTAAACTAGTACCTATCAAGTGGCAATATAGACCTCCAAATAATAATTTAAAAATAAAAACCCCACACAAAAATCCGTCAATATTTTTTTTAGTTTTATTTTATAATAATAATTTATTGCACAAATAAGCGTAGAAGTAGCGGTATTAATGCCATAAGGCATTCTCTACTAATCAACCGGGGAATTATGGCAAAGGTCTTAGGAAGGTAGTGCAAAAAGAAATCATCAAATTATCTATTACTAGCTGTGCCCCGCGGTGTTACCTGCGGTTTATTAGGGATATTTTCCCGCATTAAAACGTAGCCTATCTGTTAATCCAGGGCGTCAGTAACTCCATACCGAATTTTATTAAAATCGCTCCAGCCGTTTAGACTTGAAGAAGTACCAAACATAAACACTCAAACAAAAAAAAATGTTTGCTATACTTAATATATTCATATCACATATTAAAAAGTCTATTGAAGCGTTTTGACTTGTTCTTTTTATATTTCGGGTTGTAAATTAAGTAGGTAAATAAAAAATTAAACAAATATAGGTATTTGAAAGTATGTATAATAAAAAGGCACTAAAAAAATAATAAATGCCATTACTAAATTATTGAAACATATTGTGAACTATTTTGTATTACTATTTTATATTTGAAATAATCGTATCCTTAATTAAAATTGTCAGTATTATTAGTTAGTGTCGTAAGCATTTGAGTAAAAAAAAATACGTCAATGTTTTTGAACGTATTCAAACCAACGAAATGGTAAATTACGCGACTAAAGTCCTCTACGCACAGCAAGATTGATATCTTGCTGGATCCAGCATGCAGGACAGGCAGTGCTATACACGTAATGCCTGCTCTACACATAGACAGATGCATCTGCAGATGCCATCTGGGGATGCATCCGCCGACGTGTAGACGGGGTAGTTTGCTCGTCTCAGGTAGGTATTTAACGTCTACAGATGCGTCTGCGATCAATCCGTTTGTTGTCGGTTTTTGTGGCACGCAACAAAGGGTTTCAGCGCGAGCGTCCGCCGTCCGTCCCAGGGTTGCCAGACGTACGAGAAATCTCGTATCATTACGAGACGAGACGTACACTTACGAGACGTACACTTTTTTACGAGATTTTAACAATGTCGACTTCTTTCGTATACCTATATCAGCCAAAAAGTTAGTTTAGTTAGTAGTAGTAGTTAATATGCAAATTTATTTACTTTCTGTTATCATTAACCATCCCACATAAAACGATCGACTCGGCGCATCACTAAATGAACTACCTTATCACTAAATGAAACTTGACAACTTTGAGTGGGGAATTCCCGTTCATAATATTCTTTTGTTGTTGTCCTTATTACACTAATGTTTTGCTATATTTGTGTGTCTCTCTTACTAAGAGCTATATTGAAGTTAGTAGATTTTTACTTTACCGTCTGCTTTTGTTGTTGTAGTTTCGCAAGTTTCCGTGTTTTGTTATTTAACGTTTTTAATTACGAAATGAGTGACAGCAGTGACAGTGAATCGTCGTCCACTCCACCTAAAAAAATACCTAAAAAGGGAGGATGGACTGCAAAGAAAAAAGGTGAGACACGTTTTGAACATCATGCCCAAAAATTTCGGGATGAGTGGTTAAAACATCCGATGTTTAGAGACTGGTTAGAGCCGGCTCTAACCGGCCAGTTTTGCCCTCGCAGTCTTGGCTTTGCCTCATGCAAATGCAGACTGTGAGCGGGTATTTAGTAAGACTAACCTAATAAAAACAGATTTAAGAAATCGTCTTATCACAGATACAGTAAATGGTACACTTTTAGCTTCCGAAAGCGCTAAAGGCCCAAATCGCAAAGGTAATTGCGTAAATTTCGAACCATCAAAAGAAATGTACGCCAGAATGACAGTTGGAAACTCTAAAAATAAAGACACAATAAAGATGATTTTACTAACATCCATGATGTCGAATATAATTAATAAAAAATATGATTTTTAATTGTTTTGTTTGAATTTAACAGCCCCAAGCGCAAAGAATATGACTACACAAGTTACATAGTACAGTAAATAGCATAAAATCATTAATTTTATTTGAGTTTCTTTAAATTTATGCTTTTACGAGATTATCTGATATTTAGCAACCCTGGTACGAGAAAAAAAAAGTCATCTGGCAACCCTGGTCCGTCCACACGTCTCACGACGCATCAGTAGTGTCGGAGTTGCGAACAGATAGTGCACGCATGCTTACAATTTATTTTTTCGTTTGTTAGGCAGGTACTTTCGTTAGGCAAAATGGCTAATATGAGCACTGATGAAACATTTAAATTCCTTGAGTTGTATCAAGCAGAAAATTAGCCGGCCTAGTCCCTATTCCACTTACTTTGTTCTGTTTCTGTGTATAGGCAGCATCCACCACCTTCTTTTTTTCCATTTCTTTTTGCACACACAAGTAGTAGTTAAAAGTGCTTAATAAATAAATAGCTGCGGCAGTTACGGTCTCAATATCCATTTTTTGAAATATGTTGCGTGCGTGCGAGTCGCGTCTGTCGAGAATTAACACAGACTGATCCACCTACAGACGTGTGGTCGGTTCATGGTGATCCATCTGCCGATGCATCTGACGACGTCCGCGGACGCATCTGTCTATGTGTAGAGGAGGCATAAAAGAGATAGAGATACAGACAGATGGATAGTGCATAGAGGACTTAAATGAAATGTCATGCCTCGCTCTCTCTCAGACTTACGAAGAGTGAGTGAGTAACGAGACGCGACTATCGCGACATACTTCACAGTGATTTATTGTGAATTAAAAATAATTGCTAGTAGAAAAAAAGGGCGGGAAACGTTGAAGTAGGCGGGCGCGTTTTTACCTTTGAAATTAATTTTATTAAAATTTAATTGTTTTTCAACCAGTTGAGTAGTGTAGTTATATTTAATTGTATATTTATATTTGTGTAGTGTATTTTTAGTTACTTCATCGCCTGGTAAGTCAATATAATATAGACAATGAAGGAACCCCCTGACCCGGGGGGATCCATTTCTAATACAGAACAATTTGCGGTTCCCTCTGTCGCTTATAATGTGACTGTTATGAGTCAAGGCGAATCAAGTGTAGATACTGACCAAACAGTCAATACTAAAGTAGATTGGACTGCTCCGCCGACTAGGAAAAGGAGTAAATGTATTAAAATATGCAAAACTTGTAATAAGAAAAAGCGGAAAAACAAAATGGCGGGAAAGATAGGATGTCTCTGTGTAGATTCTGAAAGTTCTATCGAGTCTGCTATTACTAATCATAAACAAACGACCCCTCATACTGTACCCCCATTAAAAGGGAATAACATTAGTCAGCCTCAACATGATGTGAGTAATCCTGTGAATAGTCGTAAATTTTATGACAAAAATGATTTTCCACCTTTCATTGTGCATGTCCAGCGTGAACAGACAGCTTTTAATGACTCCTCCACCCTACACCCTGTGAATTTTGGTTATTTTCTTAAAAAACATAACTTTCAAGCCATAGTAGATGGCAGTGTTAAAAAAATTGGGAGAAACCGTATTGTCCTTGCCTTTAATAAATTTGAAGCTGCTAATAATTTCTTAAGTGATACGAGATTACAAGACAATAATTATAAAGCTTTTGTGCCTTCTTTCAACATAACCCGAATGGGTCTTGTGCGTGGAGTACCACATGATTGGACTCCTGATGAAATAAAAGAAAAAATCACTCTTCCTGTAGGCTGCGGAGAGATAATTAAAATAAGACGTATTAACCATAAAGTTTTTATTGATAATACTGTGACATGGAAACCTACCCAGTCAGTAGTTATTACCTTTGATGGCCAAGTACTTCCTTCCCATGTATTTTTATGCTATAATGCATTAGTTGTAGACCGCTATATATATCCAACAGTTCAATGTTTTAACTGCTGTCGTTTTGGGCACACTAAACTGCAGTGCAGGTCTAAACCTCGCTGCTTTAAGTGTGGTCAGGATCATACTGGTGATACATGTTCAGTTGAGGAAGAAGATGCACAATGTTGTAATTGTTCTGGTTCCCACTTTGCTAATAAACGAGTTTGTCCAGAATACGAAAGACAAAGGCGTATAAAAGTGACTATGGCAAATGATAATACTTCTTATTTTGAGGCAGCAAAAGTCCATCCATCTGTTAATAAGTCTTACTCTGAGGTACTAACACCCCAGCCAACTAAGGCATCCTCTAATTTTAAAACTACACCAATTAAAAATGATACTCAACATAATTCTTATAAAAAAACTGTCTTTATGAAACCTAAAGTTCGTTCACCTTCTGTTCATATGGGGTTTAATCAAGCAAAACATATGAATATGATCAAAGATTATGATATGCCCAACAACAGTGGTAATGGTACCGCTATTATACATGAATTTAACAAGAATTCAAATTTGACAATTACAGATGTAATTGTCCCTCTAATAAATTTTTTAACTCAATTTAATAATTATGAACCGTCCCACGTTGCTCCTTTACTAGACCTTCTTAATAAAATTACACATTCAAATCATGGCTCAATTGGCCAAAGTTATTCAATGGAATTGCCGCAGCATCAATAACAAGAAAACTGATCTTATTTACTTAATAAATACATACAATCCATTTATTATTTCACTATCAGAAACCTGGTTAAAATTAGGATTTAATTTCAAAATTCCAGGATATTTTTGTTTAAGACAAGATAGAGCA